ACAGAAGAGGATCAGGGGTGCAAACTTGTCACCTTTCGGCGAAATTCGCCGTTTTGGATCCCAAATAGGTAATTTGTGTGATTAATTTAGATCTGCAATAAAAATATCTGGAGGGGTCTATGACGCGAGCTGTCATGCTTCATGCAGCAGGCGAGCACGGTCCCTGCGAAAATCAAGTCGTTTCATACTGATTGCGGTCAGAGTGGTCTGATTGCTCAACACTGCCCGAAGTACTTCCGGGCCCTGTAGCCAAGCATTGCAACGAGGTCGGCACGAACCCGTCCGCGTTGTTACAAAATCCGACAGCACTGGGCGCTCAGAACCGCCGTGGACTATTCTCGGGCCAACCGCGATTGCGCAATATCGCCGCGCCAACTGCAAGAAGCATGAAACCTGATTCAATGAGTTGCAATGTGCAGCACATCACTTATTTACATAACGTTATTTTTCCGTGAAAACACTGTGGAAAGATTTGAAGTCTGGCTAGCAAGTCAGCCTTTCTGTTATACATACTGTCTGAAAAGACAGAAAAAAATACTAAAGGGCTGGCAGGAGAAACTCCTGATAAAGTCAGAGTGAAAAATGTGGTTGTTTGTTTTCACACATACCGCTCACCCCGAAATCCTTCTGAGTTTTTCAGGAGTTTGTGCAAGTGTGAAAGCACTAATGGTCAAACTTTTGCAAGTGATAATACATGCTTTGCTTTCTATATAAAAACAGATTCCAATGCGAAGAGAATCCGACCGGATTACAATAAAGCTCAACTGGGGTCTCTACCTTGTCAATGAACCATCAGCCTCAATTTGTTAAAAGGTAGAGAAAGCTTGACTTGTGTGAGGATGAGGATTTGTGGTTAACCTAGGTTAACCAGAGACTAAAACCGTTTAAGCCAGTGTGGTCATAACCGTCTTAGCTTAGCACGATTTGTTTAGAGCAGGTATCAACGTGCCGAGGAGAGAAAGAGCTTGAGGGACCAAACATGCTTTTTTACCTGCACTTTGTATGGATCACCAGAGATGCGGAGAGGTTTATCTGCTCCTGTTGGCATCGGACCGTCCTGGATCATCATCATCTTCACCCCAGCTCGCTCCTGTCATTCAAACACAAACACACAACATAAATGAGACATATGAAAGGGGTGGATAGCTTGATTGTTTACACTCACCTTACCCAGCAGTAAGTGCCTGATCCTACCTGAAGCTGCTTGATGGTGTCTCCTCCTCGGCCGATCACCAGCCCCACCTTGCTGGCTGGGATGAGCATCTCCTGCACAGACGCCCCTCCTTCCCCGTCGCCATGAAAACCAGGACCATTTCTACAGCGATCCACTATCTGGACCAGAAGCCTCTTTGCCTGCCTGTAAACACACATAAAGAAAGTGAGCAATAGGAGGGGCTGAGGAGGCGACTTCATTTTTTAAGGGAGAAGTGGATGTGTTGAAACTCACTCAATGCTCTCAGGAGTTCCAGTCAGGGAACATGGTCGCTCCATCAAACCACCGCTGTCTGTGCCAACACATAAACAACAGTGTCATTTTGTGCAACACAGCTCAACAGACAGGTTTCAACTATTCGCCTCAAAATATGTGTTTCCATGCTGTGTTTTATATTTTCCTCAAAATGTATCCAGTTGGTGTGAAGTGTCTAAGCTTCTGACTTTGAATTAAATCATTTTCATAACTCTGATTTAATCAATAAATTAATTAGAAATGGAAAAAATGATTAGTCTCTTAGTTCAAAAGTATGAGGAAAATAAGTTGTCTTTTAGTGCATGTTTTACAAACGAACATTCCCAATAGACAAGCAATATAAGATTAAAATTTGGATCATAGACCTGAAACAGAGACTTTCATGAAGAGAAGCATGAAAAATGAAAGATAGTCTCACCAGCAGCGATCTGGATCTTGCAGCCAGATTCCAACTGGATCCTGGTGATTTGTTCACCTCCTCTACCGATAACTGCAGGAGCAGAAGAGGAGAAATACACTTTTTCAAGACATCTTGGAAAGACCCACTAGAAGTTCATGGTCATAATGCCTGTTGGCTGCTTCATCGTATATGTTATGGAGCCAAATTGAACAATTCCTAAACCAGGTTATAATTTGAGTCAAGTTCAAAGGTTTTAGGTCGAGAAAAATGTTCATCAGCTAAAAGAGTTTCCAGAGGTATAATGGGTGCTGGGTCAGTTTATAAAGAGTCAGCTAGAAATTTAGAAATGGCTCTAAGCCTGGTGAAAATGTGGGGTTTTGTTAACATCTACTAAAGATGAGGTAAAAAGATATATGTAAGCTCAAGAGAATCCATTCTATCTGAAGGAAGTGTTGGTTTTACAGCCACTATAAAGCGTGCAAGCTAGTAAGATAGTCTGATTAAGTTTAATGATAAGGACAAGGATCATGATCAAATCAAGTTTAAGTTAACTTAAAGGGTTTAAGGTTGAAAGAAATGCCTTTTGGTTTGTTTCAAAGTTCGAGGACAGATAGAATTTTTACTCTAATGAAACACTCTTGCTCATTGAGGCTTAGGTCAGGATACGTTCTGGATGATATCAGCAAGGTACTGACCTTGGTTGTTTACTTTTTATAAACAGTAAAAAAAAAATATTTCCATGCATTCTGCTAGAAGAGATTTCAGTAAGCACAGTATTTGTGCAATGTTATAAGTAGGGCTGGGAATCTTTGTATGTCTCATGTTCGATTCGATATCAATTCGTGAGGTCACCATTCGATTGAGAATCAATTTTCAATTAAAAACGGTTCTGGACTCATAATTCAAAGAATATTTTTGAATTAGTACATACTTCAGGATCTACTCCAGTCATCTGTGAGACTGGCTGAATTTCTTGTTGCTCCATTTGGCATTCTACTGAGTGAAAGAGCTAGCCTTAGCACTTAGCAGGGAATGACTGATTAGCCAAACATATTTTTTTGGAAGTAATGAATTTCAGAAGATAATCTCAAATTTTTCATAATTGATTTTTCCCCCACCTCTAGTTATAAGGGGAAATCATTTTGGTTGTTCTGGTAAGTAACTTGCAATTTGATGAAAATCGTGATGATTTTTCCCCCCCAAATCAACCACAACTATTCCCAATGCAGTAAATGCTGTGAGTCTGAATCTCAGTCCAAGTCATCAGTGCTCAAGTACAACAACACCGGTTTTAGATAAGGAAAAGGCTTTAGGTCTGGTGACAAATATCAGATTTCTGTCATACAAGTTGTGCATTAGGTTAAGGATCCAGATAAAAGCTTCAATGTGAAACAGGTCAGTATAAGGCTCTAGTTTAGACTTCTGTGTTGCGAAAAGGTTTTAGGTCAGCTGAAAACATTTAAGGTCAAAAGAAAATTTTAAGTGGGGGAGTAACTGAGGAAAAGTCTAGACTCAGTGGAAAGGTTCCAAATTGCTTTAAAGTAGGGATGCACCATCGTATCTGTTCATCAGCCAATATCGGTCCTGCTAACAGACGCTGGCCCATAAGAAACTAATATGGCAAGCATCAATGTGTATCTGTTGTGTTGCATCAATTAATTATGGCAAGGTAGTCAGAATCAGAAGTTTTTTATTGACTAGTAAGTCTATCTAACTTCTGATTCAGAGTAGAGGATTTTCATTAGGCAGAATAAGTCACTGATTTGTTTTCAAACATCAAAGAAAATGCCAGCAGTGTGGGAGCCACTCGTATTCAAAATGTACCAACAAAATTATTTTGAACATCGGTATCAGCTCTGTTTTTGGCAATTAAATGAAAATATTCAAGCCACGATGATGACTAGGTTCTAGTCCCAGTATAGAATCAAGGTTAGGAGCAAAGTTTTAAAGAAAGTTCATGCTCGTGTAAAGCTGATAGAACTCTAGCTCAGGTTAAAGGTTTTAGGTTATATAGCATGAGAAAACATGATACATAGAATTATATTATAGTGTTGATTTGACAGCCAAGCATTTAGACAAAATAATCAGCAGGAGGGACTGAAAGGTTGTAGCTCATACTTACTGAACCCCACCATTCTGTCAGGGACCTTGTAATCCTCTGTGATTACTCTGCTAACACACACACACACACACACACACACACACACACACACACACACACACACACACACACACACACACACACACACACACACACACACACACACACACACACACACACACACACACACACACACACACACACACACACACACACACACACACACACACACACACACACACACACACACACACACACACACACACACACACACACACACACACACACACACACACACACACACACACACACACACACACACACACACACACACACACACACACACACACACACACACACACACACACACACACACACACACACACACGTTAACATCCTGTTCACACAATAAACCATCACTAAGAGTGTGTGTGTATGTTTATATACTGTAATAAACCATCACTAAGAGTGTGTGTATATGTTTATATACTGTATGTGTGTATGTGTCAATAAGTTATTATGTTTATGATTAAGACTGTAAGAGGACAGATCTATAAACACTTATCTGCTGTTACACCCTGAGCCCCACACACTGATGTCTATTTGCAAACAAGACTATGATGTTGAACTCTCATCATTTATCTGTGCTGCTGTGCTCTGTGTGTGTATTGTTAATCAATATGAACTGCTGCTTGTACCTTTGATGCCCCATGGCTGCTAGCTGGTTACCAACTGAGAGAAAAAGACAGAGATTAGACATGAAAACACTTTTAGGTCCAGTATAAGTGATCTGAGTGGTTGACTAAAACTAGCAGTGATTATGGATGGACAGATTGTTTTGGTAAGACAGGAGAAGACATGGTTACTGCACCAGAAATATTTTACAATATCTCATTAAGGTTGTTAACATTTTTAAAATTCAACTTTCTATGAAACCAAGTGTTTGTAAAACGATACATTCTGTTATTTTTAATAAGTGACAGGATAGAAAAGCAGGAAAGCTTAGATCTTCAGTCATATTTTTAATCATAAGCTGCCGCTAGTAAAAGAGAGAGAAACCATACTGAAAATTTGCCAACAGATTTGTGCAATTTAGACATGGTGATGATGAAAATAACGATGGTTTTGATATTATTGATGATGATGACGATAGTAATGACATTTGTTCTGTTTGATAACTACGATTTTAAGATGGTGTCATTGTTTATTTTTTTATATTGTCCTCCTCACCGCCATCCTCTCCGGGTCGTTTCTGGCCAGGGTAGTACAGGGAGGGCTCAACACTTCCTGAGGAGCTGTTGAGGTGGGACATGGCTTCTCCGCCCATCTTTCCCACGATCTGACAGAAAAACAAACCAACAGAAACAGCTGTAAAACCTGGATATGATAACAGACTGAAGCTCAGATGGATACGTAGCGCAATGCTAACACAGGAGGGAATCTAGACCAAGTTGCAGGGCTGGACGATATGGGGCAAAAATCACATCTCAATATTTTTTTAGCTGAATGGCAATATACAGTGTATATATATATATATATATATATATATACATACACACACACATACAAAATGTGAAACATTTGATATCATATTGTTTAATAATATACGTCATAATGGAATCATTGGAAAAACTTGAAAACGTGAGTTTCACCTGTATCAGTTTAAAGACTTTAATAAAAAGGTACTGCTGATACATTTTGTTAACAGAGCAGACATACAGGCAGAGATAAGGATAAGGAGAGGCATGGCCGGAGAAGCAGCTGTGTGAGTGCTGAAGGCTGGGTGTGAGTGAGTTTGTGTGTGAAATGATGAAAATAGAGTACTGGTAATTTATTCAAGGAAGACCTGGACCAAGACCTGGCATGTGCACTGAACGCAAGGAGAGAGAGAGAGATATATGGGTGCTGCAAGCAGAGCAGGAGGAGCAACGGTGTATCTGTGTGTTTATGTGTGCGTTAGTGACTAAGAGTAACGGAGAGATGAGGAGCTGACCCAACAACGAGCCTAACGATAGTCTGACCCAAACAAAGCAGTGAGTTACTCAGTCTTTGAAGACTAAGCCCTTCGTTTATAAAGATGGAACCTGTCTAATAAGTTATATCTATACTTCTTCAGTGCTAAAATGCAGGCTATAATAATGAGTAATACTACTAAATAACAGTAAACTGTATAGCACTTTTCTTAACACGGTTACAAAGTGCTTCACAAAAAATACAGAGATGTAAGGAAGGCAAATTAAACAGCTGACAAATTAAAAAATAAAGACAGGTTTAAAAAAAACAAATACTACGTAAGATAAAATTAAGAATGTAGAGCCCCACTACAAGTAAAAGTCCTGAGGAAAAAAGTTACAAATATTTAAGTAAGCAGTTAGCATACACATGCAAGAAATGCAAGAAGATATGATTCGAAAATGGTTGCTGCTGACTTTAATCTAGTGCTACCCCCTTCCGCTGCCAAAAATAAATCATTGATCGTTTAAACTAAAATCCAACAGCCAGAATAATAGACAACACAGATCAAAACTCAACACCTGGGGCTCTCATTTGTTACTCTAGACCGAAATGTATTTTTGCCCACAGCCATCTTATTAATTACAAAATACAATATTGAGCAGGATATCTAGTTTAAACCCAATATAAGAAGGTTTCCAGAAAAGTATCTAAAAAATATATTGAATTATGATTAAAACTAAAATTGTATAATGTTTAGAAGCCAACTTTCACTTTTATTAGACCCTCTTTTACATAGGAAGAAGGCTTTGAGGATTTGGGTTTCCACTGGCTTTAAAGTTCATATCGTGTAAAATACACTTTACAATGGTTGAAATCATATTCCTGGCCTGTCTACAAACCAGACAATTTAGAGAAAAGCCAATCCTCGAGGTCTTTTGTCCTGCTCCACTTTTCAGAAAATGTGTACTCAAACAGGCTGTTTGGAGATTTTCCTTTTATGACATCACAAAGGGCACCCCTCCCCAAGGTGGGTGACACTCCCACACCTAGGTTTTTGTTCTGCACTCTGAGGGAGCGGTCACACTGGCAATCCGTACCGTCCCATACTCAAGCACGATTGGCCCCCCGCTGCGCCATTCCCCAGTCACACTGCACCAGGACTATCTGTGCGCAAGCATGATTACCTTGGCATGGAGCGGTCACACTGGCCAAACGAACTGGATTTTAGGGTTGAAGCGGGCTTGGTAGAGGTCTAACGGTACACAAAAATTTCGGTTCGGTACAGTCCTCAGTTTTGAAGCTTCAGTTTGGTACATTTTTGGTAAAGTAAAAGGGACCTGATGCAACACTTTTTTTTTCTTTAATAGGAACATTTAGAATTTCCCTTTTACACCTTGGGCTAAGTGCAGCATCGACAGTTCAGACTTGTACACCTGCTCAGGTTACTTTTTAATAACATTTTTAATTAAACATTGTAAAAAAAAAAAAAATAACCTTCAACCAAAAGAGTTTCCAATAAATAAAAGATATGAATGAAATAAAGCATTTTAGAAGGAAATGAAGTAATTAATATAGCCTATATGTAAAAATATTTATTTTTAATTACAGTGACACCTTTTAGTTATTAAGCCAACAGTTTTTTGAATACCCTTTGAGCACATAATAAACCTAATCACATCTGGGACAGTATAGTTTCATCGCAGAACTATTAATATTTCCCTCTGTCGATATAAGAACTTCAATGGCATTTGTTGGCTTTGGCCCGTTCAGAATTACTAGCAAAAGGCTGTCTGTTTTTTCCTAGTTGCAGTGATGTTTACGTTCGCATGGTGCCTTTTCAAGTGCTTTAATAAGTTGTATGTGTTGCCTTCATCCACCCTGAGGTGTGAGTCCCCTATGCGGTCCGTGTGGGAACACAGATTAAAGCACTTTTGTTCCGCACGTACTTGGATCGGTCCGCGTGCGTACCGGACCGAAAGCCCTGTACCGAAAAGGTCCGGTCTGAGTACAAGTACCTTTACACCCCTTGTGGTTGGCCATTGCCAGTGTGACCGCACCCTGAGTCTACCTTCTCAACTTAAACAATAGGGCATAGCGCAAGAAAGCCCAAGCCACCAAAGCCCTTCCAGAGGGGCGTGGTCAAATACAGCTCACTTGCCTTTAAAGCTATAGACACAGAAACAGCCTGTTCTGAGCAGGGCTGAAATAGAGGGGTTTATGGCCTGACTCGTACAGTGGCCTAAAGCAGGGTCAGGCCAGTACCTCCCACTTGCAAATGGACCCAGGCAGGGCCAGGTCGATCTTGAGGTTAAAAGGCTCTTATTCTGAAAAAATTAAAAAAAAAAAAAAAAAGATGCTGTAAGAGTCTCTATAATAATCCAGGGGTTCAAGCTAAGGGAGCCGAACACAGAAACAGAAGAGATGGAGCGCACAAAGTTCAACACAGGAAACG